CTGACACTGGTTGGTTCGCCTTGTCAGGGAAGTCCGTGGTGGGGCCCACAGGGCACGGCCAGGTGAGGGGAGCAGCATTATAATCAAAGTGCAGTTTGCTCATCTTCTTCATAAACAAGTATCTGAACAGTCATCTATGGTTTATGTTTTATCTCTGGTTTTATTGTGTGCCAAGGAAAGAGGAAGAAATGTAGGTCTTAACGATGTAAATATTAAGTACTGAACACTCTAACAGAACTGGTAGATCTTCTCTCCTGGGTTGTGGCTAGCACATGTTAGAGAGGAAACTTTTTCCCACTGAGAATGAATGTAGTTTTTGTCTGGAGCTGTGAAATCAGTATTCATGTGCCTTTTATGCCATAATGTTCTTTTATGTGTTGTCTTTCAAGGGCAAAGAGCAGGAACATACTTTTGTCTTTAGGCTGGATCACCCAAAAGCCTGCAAACACTTGTGGAAGTGTGCAGTTGAACATCATGCCTTCTTCCGCCTCCGTGGACCTGTCCAAAAAGGTTCCAGTCGATCAAGCTTCATTCGGCTGGGGTCACGGTTCAGATACAGGTCAGCAGTCTTTCTTTTATTCCAGGTCTCCTTGCCTGAACTGTTTCTAAATGCGTAGTCATGACTGTCGCTCCAGAACCCTTATGCCATGAAGTAAAGGAGTTTAAAGTGGTAGTTAAGCTGGTCATAATAATCTGTAAAATTGGAAATAGCACCCCAGTTCTTGGCCTTCTACTTTGTTCAGACTTATTGGACTTCTTATAGACTCCCTCATGGCTTGCAAGAATAAGTTTCTCTATTTCATTGTTATAGAGAAAAGTCCTGAACATGTATGGGTCGCTTCTGTTTTTAGCTGTATGTACTTCAAGTGGCAGGACAGCTATAGCACCACAGGTTCACGTCTTTCTAGCCTTGGTCCTCTTCCTCCTATGCACATGGATCTTTCATACACTAATTTAAGAGATTCTGTTTCCAACTTACCGTGAGAGGTCAGTGAAAACTCTGAACCAGCCACTCCACTGAGCAGAGTCTGAAGCTTTTTTCCAGCCTAAGGAGACCTCCTCCAACTTAAGTGGCTCTTCCATTGCAGGAAGAGCCATTTTACTTGGAGGAAGGTGCCTTGGAGGATAGTTGTATTCACCCCACTAGGTGGGAAAATGTTTGTCTCTTAGAATGTAGTTAGTGCTTTAAAAAAATAATCCATCGTCTCTTCCTTTATTTCATATGGGTTCCCTAAACTCATTTTAAGAAGTTACGTTATGCTGTGTTATGACTAGGAGTGTGCATTTGGCATAAACCGATCCAGGAAAACTACCCAAAAAATACTTTACCAAAAAATAATTTACCAAAAATATTTGGGATTTTAGGACTCACGTGGCTTGGAGAAGGCATTTCAAGGCACTGTAATCCCTTTAAATGCCTTTTTCCCCTCCATTGGAAAAAATGGAAAATGGGGGCACGTTCTTCTGGGGACCATAGAATTGGATGCCCTATACAAATCTTTTTGAGACTTGGGGGGGGGGGTTGAGGAGAGGCACCAGCAGCTATGCTGCCAATTTGGTGCATGTACTTCAAAAAAACCACCACCCCCCCGAGCCCCAGATACCCCCGGATCAATTCTCCATTATACCCTACCATAGGATATAATGGAGCTGAAAAAAATTGAATTTCCCAAATATTTACCAAATTGGAATACCATACCAGTAGTGGGATTCGGGAATATCAGGGAATAAAACCGAAATGAAAAATACCTGGGGGGGGGGGGGTTGCACACCTCTAGTTATAAGCTAGGGCCATGGTGTCTTAGAGGTTAAGATGCTCAGCTTCAGACCAGATAGTCTGTAGTTTGGCAGTTCGAGGCGCTAGTGCCACAGAACAGAGTGAGCTCCCGTCTTTGACCCCAGCTCCTGCCATCCTAGCAGTTCGAAAGCGAGAAATTGCAAGTAGATAAATAGGTACGACTTTGGTGGGAAGGTGACAGCATTCCATGCACCTCGGTGTTTAGTCATGCCGGCCACATGACCATGGAAACATCTTCAGACAGTGCTGGCTCTTCGGCTTGGAAACGGAGACAAGCACCACCTCCTAGAGTCAGATACGACTAGCTTTCGAGAGAGGGAAACCTTTACCTTTACTTTTTAATTATAACCTACAGTTGCAACATTACATTCATTCATTCACTTTTAAGAACACCTTTTTTGGTCATTAAAACAGGGGCTACCTGTATTCAGCATCTCCAGTGTATCGACATTTTTTGTGTGGTGATGAATTTGTCTTATATGACATTTTAAAAAGAAAAGCAGATTTATAGACCCGATTACAGAAAAACTTGTAAAGCTTTTGTAAATACTCTCTCCTTTTTGAATTTCCCTCTGCTAGCTTTTTCCGTTGGTGCTTGAACAATTCATAGAATCACAGAATTGGAAGGGGCCATACAGGTCATCTAGTCCAACCCCCTGCTCAATGCAGGATCAGCCTAGAGCATCCCTGACAAGTGTTTGTCCAGCCGCTGCTTAAAGACTGCCAGTAAGGAGGAGCTCACCACCTCCCTAGGCAGCTGATTCCACTGTTGCACAACTCTTACTGTAAAAAAGTTTTTCCTAATATCTAGCTGGTACCTTCCTGCCCTAAATTTAAACCCGTTATTGTGAGTCCTCTCCTCTGCTGCCAACAGGAACAGTCAAGTATGGCTGAGCCCCTCGTAGCTTCCTCCACCATTTGATGAAGGAAGTTGTCATCCAGAGAGGTCAGAAAGTTGTGTGACTGTGGACACTTTGCGGAGTTTGCACACATCAGGGAAGTTGAAGTCACCCATAACTACCAGGTCATGTTGTTTGGATGCCCTGTCAAGCTGCTCAAGGAGGGCAGTATCCACCTCCTCATCCTGGTCAGGAGGTCTGTAACAGACCCCCGCCACAATACTGTTTGTCCTTCCTTCCTTTATCTTCACCCAGATACTTTCCACTGTTGCCGTTCTCCTCCAGTACTTCCTGACAAACAAACCCTCTCCTCACATACAGTGCCACTCTGCCTCCTCTTAAATCCTTTTGGTTTTTCTTGAACAACTCGTATCCACTACTGCATTCCAGTCCTGGGAATCACCCCACCAAGTCTCTGTAAGGCCTACTAAATCATATCCTGCACTAGAATCTCAAGCTCTTCGTTCTTATTGGCCAAGCTTTGAGCATTGGCACATAGACAGCTGAAGCCCCGCACCTTTGGCTCCGTTAGACCCGGCCCTCCTAAGTGGGCCTCTGTTGTTTTCTCTCCTTTATTTAAATCCCTATGTTGGTCGTCTCCTTCCATAGGATCATTTGAAAATGTGGATCTTGGAAGTGGAATAAGTCATGCATGACTAAGCATGTGGAAATATTGCTTGTCTGTCTGTTGATGATAAATTCTTTTAAGTAAATGACTGGCTTTAACAGAACAACAGTGATCTGATAAGAACCAAGTATTTAGAAGCACTATCAGAGTGACATGTTCCCAGATATGTGCTGCCAGCTTGGTGATTGTCAAAGTTTATCTCATTCCTTTGCTGTGTTGCTTGCTTCTATCTAGTGGGAAAACAGAGTACCAGACGACAAAGACTAACAAAGCCAGAAGATCAGCATCTTTTGAAAGAAGGCCTAGCAAACGGTATTCAAGGAGGACACTACAAATGAGAGGTAACTTCTCTCTTACTATTTAACAATGCTGCTGTGCTTGCAGAGTGTTCAGGATCTGGAGATTTTCTTGAGATCATACCAACTCAGTGGAAGTTTTGACTTCTCTTCTTTTAACGTTCAGTTCCCATGTCATATCTGAAATTGCCTTCAGTGCTGAAGGAAGTCTCGAAAGCAGAGGGCTGGTAGTTGAGGTGAAACAAGTGTGGAGCCCACACAAATTCACAATTGTTTGGGTCTTGGCCAATGCTGAGACTTACAGTATTGTACTTAGGGAGATTGTGTGGTTTTACTTTACTTTCTTTTCTCATCAGCTTGTCCATTCTAGTTGGTAGCAGTATTTGTGGAAGCTGAACAGTTGCATAGCATGGAATCCCTGTATGGTCTTCCCCCCACCCTGCCCCCCGTTCTAGTTGTTTTTAAAAATGTGTTATGGCTGTGGTGCATTCTAACCATTTAATGCAAAATTCTTGATACTGTATCACTGATTTTCATTTATTTATTTTTACAGCCAATTTTACTAAACCTGAAGAAACCAGGTAAGACAAGCCCCTGTTTGGCACAAAAGGCTTAATCTAAAGTAATGTTTCTTCCATCCGGGAGTATTTCTTGAGAATCATTTTCTGAACATATTTACCTCATCTGGTCATCCACATAGGACTATTGGGAAAGCTCTTTGGGCAGAGGATATTAAATACTGAATTGCCATTGCTTATGGAGCTTCCATGAATTGTCTACCCATGTGGACTTGTCATTCCGTTATTTGAAAACTACAGATTGGCATGAGAAAATGTAAGTGGGAAAAAAAAGGACACTAAGGTTCTAGGAGATTGTTCTGAAACTCTGAGATTGTGTGTAATTAAAAAAGAGCCTGCTTGAAACTTGTGGGAAGACTTTTGATTGGTCAGACACATAGTGGGAGGGGCAAAAGGAATGACAAGTCCCTTGCCACAATCTGCAGTCTTCTGCCATAAAATGCTTCTGATATTGTCTTCTTCCTTTGCCTCTTATCACTGTACTTCTGCTAAGAATATTCAAGTTTGCACAATTTTTGACATCCTCCCCCCTCACCATCTCTCCATAGTGAATGAGAATATTAAAAGTAAATATGTTGGTAGTAAAGAATATGCTCAGAGGTATTAATGTGGGGGTTTTTTGCATTTAGCCAAAGAATTAATGTTTGTATATGATTTCTAGCAAGCCGAGGTCTGTACTCTGGGATATTGAATTTATGTTGTAGCCCAAGTTGGTTCTTAAAAGAAGGTTTCAGGTTTCCTTTACTGATCTTTGAGTGTCCAGATTTGCAGAAATAAGGAGTTGGAACCTAGGACCCTCTTCCATTAACAGTGTGATACCAATCAGAGTTACACCCTTCTAAGCCCATTTACTTCAGTGGATTTAGAAGGATGTATTGTCAAGATAGTACCGTCAGGCTTCTTTCAACAGAGAAAGACTTCCTCAAATGGAGAGTGACTTTTCTGATGGAGGAGTCTCTCTGTTGGAAGAAGGGGGTCATAAGATCCAAACCAAGATTTATTCTTTATTATTGTAAACAGCCTTCTTTCACTGATTGTTGACTGAGAATATTGTAAGATGCTCACCCCAGAGCCAGTAAGGTTGTGTTTGACTGCACATGTTAATTAACATTGGTAATTCAAATTGATCATGAAAGATGCGTACTGTTTCAATCAAAAACATTAGCTCAGCAGAGAGAAATCTAGTGCTGCTCAAAAGAAAAGTATTCTTTAGTACCAGGTTTGATTCTTCCTGTACAGGGAAGTTCATAAGAGAACCAAGTAACCTAACATAGTTTTAGGTGTATTTTCAAGCTCTTCTGGGAGCATGCAGTGAAACAGGATGCACATAAAATTAAAGCAAATAAGGTACTCTGTGTCCCAGTATACAGGGTTTATAAGAGAAACAAACACTTTCAAACTGTCAACAGAATATTTTATCCTTTCATGTTTTCAGTTTTGCCTTTGCTTCAGGCAGACTTGTACCCTTCTGCCTTTGCAAGATTGTTTTGCATTGCTTCATGAGATGTATAAAATTTGTAGGATTTTAAGTATATTTTGACTTTAAGCCTCATGTAAATTGATGGTGTGGTATTTAGGATGTTGGTATCATAAACAGCTACTGTGAAAGGTCCTCTAGAGCCAGATGGTGGGATTTAAATCTCAAACTAAATAATGCTTTAGTCTGAAAGCTATAGTGCACAGAATGTTTAGCTCAGTCTTTTCATTTACTGTTCCGCTTCTGAGACTGGAGAAATCCATATTTTAGCAATTTGGTCTTTGGGAAACTAAGTTGAAATTATTGGATTTTTCTTTCAGCCTTCCAAATAATGCTTTAAGCCAAAATAATGGGTCGCAGCAAGTAAGTCTAAATATTCTGTTTACTTAAAATTCTTCTAATAAGCCTTTGGGCCGTAAGGAAACTATCCTCAGAACTTAATGGCCTGTTCCCTTCCCTCTAGGATGTAGGTGATAAAATGCAATAAAAAGTTATATATAAAAAAAGAACTTAATGGCATCAGAATTTGAAACTGGTCCAACTACTAAGTGGAAAAATTGATAATTTGCTAATTTAGACTTGGAGGATTTATTTATTTATTAAAATATTTATTCCCCATCTTTCTTCTTGGCTCAGGGTGGCTTACAAGTAATAAAGCATTACAAAATAAAATAGAAACCCAAGAACTCTTCCACCAACTATAGTTACTGTTTGTCGTCTGTAAAAAGCCCTGGCAAACGAACAAGACTTCTCAGAGTCTCCTGAGGCTCCCTCACCACTTCAGTGAGCCCTTTCTTCCATAGAGTGGGGGCTGCAATGAAGAAGGCCTGGGCTCTGGTTGGTGCCAGATGGGCCGACCGTTCTTGATTTTCTGAGCATGAGGAAAGAAATGTTCTGTTTTGTTTTTGTCTATGCCATAATGTGTTTGCAGCTAAAATATTTTAGCCTTCACGTTTTGTCTTTCAAGAACCGGATTGCAATGCCTGCCTTGCCCTCTGTAGCAGCAGTTTCTTCTGGCCCAGCCTTAGTTGAAATAGAAACTCTTCCAAGCAGTTCTGGGACCAGCCAGCAAGACAACAAATGGTGCGTAACTCTGCTTGTGCTGCTTTGGGAAGAGAATGTTATTACAGTTCACTTCAAATACTTTTTCCACAAGTGATCATAGACATACTAATCATATGTATGTAATTTAAAAAGAATAAACTTGGGGGGGCTTGGTGTTTGAGCACAAAGCCTGTTCTGAGCCCAATCTGGATACTCTGTCACTGTGTCATTTGGATTCATTGGAACAAATCTGTTTCTGTAGCACCTTCTCACTGGGGTATCATTTTGGGTGCTTGCTGTGGAATGAGATGGAAGATTTCTCTGACCAACCTGTTCAGCTAAGATTGTGCTCACAACAGAGTGCTTAACACAAAAGGCAACTTCTCAATTGCCTACATTTCTACAGTGATCAGGAGGTGTTTGCTTAGAATTTGAAATGAATCAGGGCTATTTTTGGGCAGGAACGCACAGGAACGGAGTTGCGGCTGGCTCCCAAGTTGGCCACGCCCAGCAGGAACTCATTAGCATAATAGGCCACACCCAACAGCAGAAACTCATTAGGATTGGCTACAATTAGGGGTGTGTGGCCTAACATGCAAAGGAGTTCCTGCTCCAAAAAAAAGCCCTGGGTTTTGACAACAAACAAGGTAAAGAGAATAAGAAGCAAAAGGTGGGTGTGGCTGGGTGACCACACTTCTGGTAACATGGGGGTGTGGCGTAATATGCGAATGAGCTGTACTATCAGGGGTGTGGCCTAATATGCTAATTAGTCCCTGCTGTTGGGTATGGCCTATTATGCTAATGAGTTCCTGCTGGGCTTTTTCTACAAAAAAAAGCCCTGGAAATTATTGTAGATAAATGTTTCATTTAAATTAATTTCTAATCTCTTGTTGGCTCACGTTCTGGCTGTCCTTCAAGATAAGACCATAGTTCCTCAGAGTACTGACTTTAACTTTTAAGGGGGCAGGGTACTCTTAAAGAACCTTTAATTCACTTACATTATTATCTTAAGCTGTTTTCTTCCTATGAGAAATCTTTCTACATATGGTCAGTACCTGAATCTCTTCTTATATATCTAAGACAAGATGGTATTGCAAATATGGATTGTTTGTGATCTTAATTGTTATTTCAGACCATTGTGTTTTATGCAGATTTAGTTAATGATATTTGTCTGCTTACTTCGTAAAAGTGTGTCCTTTATACTAAAGGGTATACCTTTGCTTACACTTTCCTTTGGTACAATCAAAAACATAATCAAAGGGTACTTTATCTTTTCTTTTTGGTCATGATTTCTTCTAGTGTCTGAAATTGGAGGTTTTTCTCTGAGGTCTTGGTTGATCAGTCAGTTTCTTCCTTCCCTGCTGGTGGTGGTTGTAAGGTGGTGGTATTTATTTTTATTGTTTTATTGGTATGATGGCTTATCTCTTATAAACTTGGCATAATTGTGATGCGCATGCTGGTCAGTAGCATCTTTGTGTGGAACTGTTAGACTCTAGCTCCAAACAGCTCTGACTGTGTGTCTTTTATAGCCCTATAAAATTTTGTCAAGGGCTGGCCACAAACTGATGCTGTTTCCAAGAGGATGAAGGACATGGAAAGGATGTCTAGATCTGTGTGGTCATACTTTGTACTGTGAATCATACAGAATACAGGGGAAAAGTAAGCTTGTTGCCCATACATTCATGTTCTGGTCCTTACAGTTGTAAAGAAAAGTGTGTAAATTGACCCGTACTGTATTGACAATTTCCCTTGAACTCCTAGGGCTGTTTCATACATGATGCTTCCTACATTAATGTAATTAGGATTTTTTTTAAAAAGTTGGTATTCACGTATGATGAGTAGGCACCTTTGTCTTCTGTTATGTACCCATAGTTCTGGCTTCCTGCTGTGTGTACGTACAGGATAGATACATGATACATTACTGTGTCAAATCTGCATAAAACAGTGTTGTTTTGGAAGCAGTTCTTGGAAAACTCAGAAAGCTTATCAGATGATACACACGACTCCCTGTTTGTTCCCATGGTTCCTGTCCTACCTCCCTGAAGCCTGCCCCCAGCTTTTCCAGTGGTGAGCTGCAATGTTCTGTCCCAGAAGAGAAGAGTTGTAGCTTATAACAGCTCTATGTGTGTTAAATGAAAATTCCTTGTCTTTCTCCTCAGCTTCTTGGCCCTGTGTCACACTCTGTGTTAGTCCTCATGCCACTATGCCTGTCCGCACAATGTGCACTTAGATTTAGATAAATTAGATCTTTTAGCAGATAAATTTAAGCTCAGCTGCAGCAGAAGACCAGCAGTCTGAAGCAGGGATGTGGGTGTGTGTTCACAAGAGAGGGTGTGTGAAATGGTCCTGATAATGGTGGGTAAAGGTGCACTTTGCTCTGTCGCAGAGCAGCATTCTTTATAGTGTACTGCAGTAAAGGGGAAACAAGAAAGAATTGTTTGGAGCTTGGAGTTGATGAAGTGTGCCGCATTGAATGTGAACTCTGGAATGAGATTAAGCTGGATGCATTGATGGAATGTATGTCTCTGCTTGAAGAGAAGCTACTTGGTACTGCTTATGGGGCTTTTCTGCATCAACCTGTCACTCCTTTAATTACTCTGCTGCCTTTACTTGACCATACTCCTGCTGTTTTGATAACCCTTCTTTAGAAAACTGTTTAGTTAGAGGACTAAAACTGTAAGAACTGCAGTGGGTTAAGATTTTTAATTGGATAAAAGATAGATATATTTTCTGGGACTGGTTCTTTGCCTGTATGGAAACATGAGGCTGAATGTAAGGTATTTCAATTATGCCACTTCAAACCTAAAATGGGTTTGTCAGTGTTGAGCTGCAATACAACCAGTGACTTTCAAAAGGGTATGCACTGCCACCTCAAAGTGGCAAAATACTTTCTTGTCATTCCTAATGAATCCGTAGCAAAGAAAAGAATATGCAGTATAAACTGTAGCATTCACTCAGCATTAATGGCATGTATCCTACCACTTGTTTCCTCTGACCAGCATCCCTGATTGTGGAAGAGAGTGGCAGTTTTTGCTGATTACCCCCTTCCACTGCAGACATCCTACTCCACCTTTGATGATTTTTCTGAAGGT